GAGAGCCCCTACTCTCTGTAATCCCTTCGGCAGCCAGAACACAAGAGGGGGAAACAGGAGGAGATTTGTAAGTGGATGATGTGTGTTGAACTCACCCAAACGGCAGGGCTCAGAAGCCACTTTCCTCCCCAGCCCCACCTCCAGATCCCCGGACCAATGTTTTGATCCTGGCACTGGCTTGGAGAACTCCAGATGCTTGGGAAAGAAGTCCCAGAAGCCTATAAACCCCCCCCTCTCTCACATACACACACACACACATGCACGCACACTCTGTATCAGAACTGCTGGCTTTTAAACAAGCCAAAGTGCAAGGATTCCTCCCAGTCAGAGCTGGGTGTTTCTCCCGAGACTCAAGAGGCCCAGCAAAAAACACGACTTCGGTACTCAAGAAACAGGTCCAACCACCTCGCTGACTAGGAACTCTGACCAGATTTGCTTCCAGGTGAAGCAAGCTTTGGATTGCAGCCGAGACAGAGAGCCTTAAAAAAAAAGAAAAGAAAAGAAAAGAAAAGAAATTTCCCAGCAAAGAATCCTGGAGTTTGCTCAGAGCAGAGAGCAGCTTTGGGGACAGGCAAAACACGGGGCCCTCTTGAGTGCTGGTGGAGCACAACTCCCATCGTCCCCCGGCCAGCACGGCCACTGGTAAGAGACAATGGGCAGCTTCTTTCGCCCCCATCGCCTGCCTTCCCTTGAAGTAGACCCCACGGGGCTCCGAACTTTTTGCAAACCACAGCTCTCCTTCCCTCCCACTCAAGCTGTCCCTGGTTTGGCTGCAAATCAAAAGCCGTGGCTTCAAACAGGCAGGGAAGGCTGGCCGGCCTTCGAGGTGCTTTCCTAACGCAGAAATTGGGTGGCAAAACGGGACCTTTCTTGGTAGGTTCACACTTTGCCCCTGAATCTCAGCTGCTCGCTCAATAGCAGGGTGTCCCGGGTGGGGCTGAGAGGCTGCTCTCGAGATCTTGCCCAGACCTGCTTGTTGGGAGCAGAGAGGGAGCAAAGGTCTTGGAGAGAATAAGCGAGGTGCCGGGAAAGAGAAGCTCGTCAACGGCAGGCCATCCCTTGGACATTAAAAGACAAGCGTCGCTCCCTCCCACCCTAAAAGCTGAGCTACAAAATTTGCTCTCAGGCATCCAAATCCCCCTCGGGACAGCTGAGTTCCCACCTGTGGCACAGGTGATGGAAACTGCCAGCCGATGGCACCCCTGCTCAGAAGGGTCCGAGTTCGAGTCAACCTCCTTCCGAAGTCTATGTTGTGCTTTCTGACGACTCCACTTCCAGGGCTCAGCCTGGAAACCCACCCACCAAAGGCCACTGCATGGCCTCTGTAAAGAACGCATCCTCTGAGCAGAGACAGAGTGCCATGACACTGGGTAACTGCCACTGGCTCTTTTCAAAAGGAAGGAGGGAGTGGAAAGCAACCGGGAGCGAAGTCGCACAAATCTCAGATATTATCCAGTCTGCTCACACAGGGAGCGTATTAAGCCAATGAGTCCAAAGCCCTGCTCCAGACTACAAAACCCAGGATCCCCTAGGATGGAGCTGCTGCAAGGGGAAACACAAACCCCAGGAATGCTTTGGGCCCAACCACAGCCGTTGAAGAAATATAGAAGGGCTACAATTCCGAAGTTCAAGCACACTTCTTGGTTTCTCACATGAGGGCCCTGACCCCCACGGACAGGACAGGCAGTGCTTCAAAGAGGAGGGCAGGGAAAGGGTTTAGAGGATGGGGGGGAGAAGATACAGATGGGAACAACGGAAGGAATGGATTGACAGACAACAAGATGGTCTTGAGCGCAAGAGCCGGAAAAGTCCCCCCTCCCAAGTTCCAAAGTCTCTCCTCCCCCATTAACCTCTTTGACTGTCTGAAACCGCATTTGGGAGCAGGTATGTGTGTGAAATTATTTGCAGAGAACAGACCTGGAAGGATGATTGGAAAGAGCAGAAATTGAGACAGGCAGAAAGAACCCTGATTTTAATTTCAATTGTGGGAGGATGGAAGCCGCTGATAATTCATACCCAACACAGGACATGCTAATTAAAAAAACACACAAAAACAAAACAAAATTTAGGCAGCAAGAGAACAGCATTTCCTCTTTTATCAGTAACTTGGGTGAAGACCCCCCCCCAAAAAAAAGAAGGGCCCCAGATAATAGGGAAGGGATGACTCTGGTTTCTTCTTTAAAGAAACAAAACTACACCCTTCAGGTAGGTTACCTGAGCCGAGCCTTCCCACCTTGCCCTTCGCTCTCCCTCCAGGAATAAAGCTATGAAGATTCTGCATTTAACTGGCACCAAAAAAAGAGAACAGAATTGGGGAAAAGGTTGTGGGGATGATTTTGCTCTGTTTGGGAATAAATTCCTAGCCTCCGCTCTACTCTCGTAGATATCACCATGGCATCGTGGGCTCTGGGAATCGTAGATTGGAAAAGGAATTTTTCTAAGCTCCGGAAACTATTGCAATCTGAATAGTAAAACCATGGAACATCATCTTGCTTGAAGAAACGAAGTTGATAAACAGCAAGTTCTTGCAACTCAAAGGAAGATCATCTAAATGTTCTTGTTTTCCTCTTCTCTGCCTCCATTCTTTTTCTTTTCTACTATGTCTATGACTAGATCATTAAAAACTAGGGGCAAAGGAGGGCAGGACAATTTTTTTTTGAAAGCAACTGGTTGCTTGGGATATTTTTGATACTTTAAAGTGTAGCACTACAGGGAAACCAACTGTATGGTTACTTAGTCAGTGGAAATGGAATGTTTACTTTCCAAGTCTCATTTTGCAACATTAAGGACTAGTGAGTTTGTGTTTCAGCAACATTAAGGACTAGTGAGTTTGTGTTTTCAAAAACAACAACAACCCTGCAATAACAAAATAAATTGACATTTTTGTGTTAGTAAACTCTGCATTGGTTATCTTGGGATGTTCTGGGCTGCCTAGTATATAAAAAGCCTTTAAAAAGGAATTGATGCACATGTTAATATTAACAAGAGTGTCCTGGTTGCAAACCCCGCGCCATGCAGAGCTACAGAAATGCGTCCCACCCTCCCGAGCTGCAGCTTGCAAGAGCACTGCAACACGGACGCAGCGGCATGTGAGCGGGGAGGAAAAGAGGGGAGCAGACGTTCAGGAAACTGACTGGCTCCCAGGGATACAGTAGGTGGCTGGGGGGGGGCTGCTATCGGGGGGGGGGGGCCGG